TTTTAAACTGTTTTTGTTTCAAAATTTGGTCATTCTATTTCGTTGTTGTGAAGATCGCTTCCGGGAGGGGTGGGGGTGGGGGTAGGGGTAGGGGTTCTTTACAAAGTTTTATACGGGGAAGGTTTCGCCCCGAGGTCCAACCCCTTACACTTTTTTGGTTCAAAAGTTAGTCATGACAATTCCTCTCGTGCTCGAATACAACATTTTGTTTGGAGAGCACTCAAGAAGCTAGTTGCTCTATCTGTGCTGTCCCTCAAGCAACTCTTATGCTTCTTCCCGCGTGCATCATAATTCGATAATGCACGCTGAAGCATGACAATTGCTTACGAGTGTCACAAGTTAGTCAGTTTTAGTGGTTTGGTGCGAAACGTCATTTAACTTTCTTTGTAGCAAAGACTTTTTGAGAATTAACGACGGGACGGGTAAAATACTTGGTGTGTACTGTGGTAACAAGACCGTCGACCAAAGACTTCTTGTGACTGGAGACAAAGTGGAAATAATATTTCACTCAGACGGAGAGATTGAGCAAAGAGGATATCTGCTAAATTTCACTCTAGTTTCATTGCCCTCGGTTTCAAACGGTGAGTGGGACCATAAAGAAGCTGATGAGTAGTATAGGGCGCTTGTTTGGTCGGTAACCAATCACAGAGCGCCATACAGCACAGATGATCGCTCTCGACCGATCAGAACGCGATGCATCTCATTAGATGACGTAGTTGACTTTCGTGCATCTAATTGTCCTATAAAAATGGCGGCGTCCAATTAGAAACTAGTATTTGGAAAACAGCCCACCAGCCTCGACAGAGGACCTGGGATCGGTCTCACAGATTTCCATGGCGACCAGAAAAGTTAAATAAATAATAAGACACTTACAGTGTCGCGAGGGCCTCGATGACAGTAGTCCGTCTTGCATGCGGCCATGATGAAGACTCAGTGACTTGGGTCCGAGGTCTGACTATAGGGAGGCTGTCCCAAAGCATCATGGGGCAAAGACATTATCGGGAACCAGTCAGAGAAGACCGCGACGTCAGCATACATAATGAGATACTTACAGTTGTGTTGGCTTCCCCAGTCCCCCTTTCTTAAGGAGTGCACTCAACCCTAAGATCTCACCATTGTGGGTACTTCCCGAGGGTTGGTTACCCCGGCTCGAGTACACCAAGTTCATCTCCCACTTAAATAATTTCTAACATTTCAGTTAAAGGTGACATTTATTTATGATAATACATTGTTCGTGGCTAGTCTTATGCAGCTCGTTTCGTCCCCGCCAAGGGACTCATCAGAGACCTTTCTGCCTCGCAAACTCGTTGGGCATCACGCCCAAATTCCCGTTCGCTAACAAAATGATGACGGCGATCTCGCCTTATATCGCGTGAGGATTCCCGACCGCATTTCATTTCCACGAGAAAAACTGGAACACGAGTTTTCTGCAAAACTAAGAGCAATAGTGTGGTAAGAGACAAAGGCTCTTGAGCATGATAATTTTCAATAGGCCGTAATGAATGTAAACATTGTCATAAAAATTTGACGTCTTTAGCCACAAGTTCGCGGACTCTCTTTAACCCTATCCAGACCGGACTTTTTGGCTTTTTAAGATCTTCTAGTGACTGGAAACCAAGTGAAAATGTTATCAGATCAGACGACTAGGTTGAAGAAAGTGGATATCGGTTAGTCTTCACTCTGGTTTCATCAGCCCCGGTTTCACCAGCCTCGGTTTCACCACCCTTATTTGCTTTTACTCGGGTGGGACGATAAAGAAGCTGACTAAGCTTATCAAGTTCACCAAGTTTATCTACCTCCTCAAGCAGTTTAAAGACTGTATCAAAGACCTTTACTGGTTAAAATAATTTATTAGATACATCTCTAAAGACACAAGTGACAATGGAACCAAATTTAGCACACAGTTAGGTTTTAACGTCCTTAGCATTTTGAGGTAGACTTAGTACCTCTGACGGGTCACGTGAAATGTCAAGTGACATTTAGCAGAAAATAACAAATATTTGACCAACTGGTGGCGGCTTTTAGCAAAAATCATTCAACAAAAACGGGTTTTAGATGCAGTTCAATGCAGTTCAGTGTAGTTCAATTATTTCCATCCTCTCACGTTTGGAATGACCATGCTGAGAATGGAATGACCATCCAAGTTTTTGCGGAAAAAGGTTTTAGGGTCAAAGGTCATTTTTTCAAGAAAATTCGACTTTTGATCATCTATATTTTCTCAAAACGAAATCAAGGAAGATCATTCCAAACGTAGCAAGGTAGATAATTTAAATTTGCGTAGATAAAGCTCATTTATTGATTAATACGTGTAAAATTCGCCACGAATTCGCCGATTTACTAAATTTTAATGAAATAATAACGTTTAAAAGAACGTTTAAAAGGTCATGAACTTGTGGCGTCTAAAGTTACAGGCTCGCAGATACTCTTTAGCCCTATTCAGACCGAGCTAATGGACTTTTTGAGGTCTTCTTTGACCGATGGGGGATCGGAGGGAAGGTGGAGGGGTTTCTGAGGCCAACACCCCGTTACTCTTGGAGTATTAAAGTCATTACTGATCACAAATCTTGTACGTTTTATAACACGTCCCAAACTTTCCTCTACGAGGTCCCTGTCATAGAATGGATCTCCCACCTTGGATTTTTACTAAAGTTTTTTTTACTAAACGCTGGAAAATTGCGAAAATTTGCTCGCAATATTTTCTCTTTTTTGACAGTTTATATCTTTCCAATGATGTCTTTCATTTTCAACAGCACTAGCAGTCTCAATTATCATGAACTGTGGACAGTTGCAAGCGCGATATGATTAAAGCAAAACAGGACGACACGCTTTTTCATTGTGTAAAAAAATGTAATTTTACAAGTTGGAGTTATGACTTCCTTCAATTATGACAACCTTGGGAATGTTGATCATCCAGTTATTTCCAATGTAGTCCTCAAACATTATTTAAACTCCCAGCCTCCTTAAGATAGAAATTTCTTATCCTTTTTTAGTGCCTACGGAAAGGAATTCTGGTCAACCCTCACAAGAAACCGCTGGTCAACCAACACAAGAAACCGCGATCTCCAATGAAAGGATGATTTACATCGCATCTGGTATCGCCGTCATTCTGTTGCTGGTGCTATGTTTTATTCTAGGTTTCTGGTGCCACAGACGGTCTTGTCACAAGCGAATCAAAAGGTTATTCACTGTTGTTGTTACCTCGTACTTAAGATGAAACATGATAAATTCGTTGGTTATTGCAAAACTGGGACAATTAACAGGAAAGATTCTGAATGTTATGGCATTTTACAGCTAAAAGCTGCATCTATACGTTAATTACAGCCGGTTGCATTCTCAGCAGGCGCTGTTTTGAGACGTAATAGAGACCTTGCCTCTTTTTTGCTTAAATTTATTCACCTAACAGCAAAGAAAACCTTACTATTATAAATTGACCCTACATATATAACATATGCGTACCACAAGACAAACATAGTTTAACTTTGAAATATGATGTTCAGACAAGAAATCGGATGTGAAATGACTTAGCAAAATGATGGGAGGCGCAGTGGCCCAATGGTTAGTTGGGGAGCAGTGGAAGAAAAAAGAGAGATAGAAAAAATAAGAGACGAGTGTGGTACGTAG